GGTCCCGCACAACCCTCTTACCACATTGAAGCTCAAAATGAACCGGAACCGCTTAGGTGAAGTAGTTCAACTACACCAATCGTAGCCCCCTCATGATATAGCTTGAGTCTCTGGCCATTAACCTTGAACTCGTTACCATGTTCATCAAATACCTCCACAGAACCAAATTTGTTAGCCCTTTTGACAGCAAAAGGACCTGACCACCTTGACTTCAACTTTCCTGGGAATAGTTTAAGTCTAGAGTTGAACAACAACACTTTATCACCTTCTTTGAATTCTCTCAGAAGGATCATCTTGTCGTGTCATCTCTTTGTCTTCTCCTTGTAGACACGAGCACTATCATAGGCCATCAACCTAAACTCATCGAGTTGGTTAAGTTGAAGTAACCTCTTTTCTCCCGCTAATTTGGCATCCAAATTGAGCTCCTTAATATCCCAATATGCCTTGTATTCTAATTCCACCGGAAGATGACATGATTTACCGTACACGAGTCTATATGGAGTAGTACCTATTGGGGTCTTAAACGCAGTTCTGTATGCCCAAAGGGTGTCATCCAACTTATCGCTCCAATCTTTCCTTGATTTTGCCACCACCTTCTCTAGAATGGCCTTGATCTCACGGTTGGAAACTTCAACTTGGACACTAGTTTGGGGATGGTAGGCTAAATCTGTCCTATGGTAAACACCATACTTAGCTTTTTGAGGAGGGTATCTAACTTCCGCTCATGAAAGTGAGATCCTCTATCACTGATTATAGCTCTAGGCACTCCAAATCTCGGAAAGATAGTCTTCTTGAAAAGTCTGTGGACCACCTTGGCATCATTAGTAGGAGTAGAAATGGCCTCAACCCACTTGGATACATAATCAACGGCGACAAGTATATAGCGGTTCCCGTTTGAAGACGGGAACGGTCCCATGTAATCAACACCCCAAACATCAAAAATTTCAACTTCTAAGATTCCAGTTTGAGGCATCTCATGCCGCCACGAAATGTTTCCAGTCCTCTGGCAAGAGTCACAAGCCTGCACAAAAGTGTTATCATCCTTAAACATAGTGGGCCAATAGAAACTTGACTCATTAATTTTGGCCACCGTTTTTGTGGGGCCATGATGTCCTCCATATGGTGAGGTGTGGCAACTAGTAAGAACACCGTGAACTTCCCATTCGGGAACACACCTGCGAAATAATCCATCTGCACACTCACGAAACAAAAAAAGATCATCCTTAAAATAATGTTTAACATCATAAAGGAATTTCTTTTTCTATTTGTAGGACAAGTCAGGAGGTAGGGTACCACCCACTAAATAATTAGCAAAGTCAGCATACCAAGGGTGTTGCTCTACAACTGCATACAGGTTGCCATCAGGGAAAGAATCATCTATAGGAAGAGAATCCTTACCCTCATCATACCTGATACGTGACAAGTGGTCTGCCACTACGTTCTCTGCTCCCTTTTTATCTTTTATCTCAATATTGAAATCCTGGAGCAAAATAACCCAACGGAGTAGCCAAGGCTTTGATTCCGCCTTGGCTATCAAGTATTTCAAAGCTGCATGGTCAGTAAAAACAATGACTTTAGAACCAACAAGATATGATCTAAATTTTTCTAAAGCATATATGACAGTAAGAAACTCCTTCTCCGTAGTGGCATAGTTGACTTGGGCTTCATCCAAAGTTTTTCTTGCATAATAAATAGCATGCAAAACTTTGTTCTTTCTCTGTCCGAGCACGGCTCCTAGTGCAAAGTCACTTGCATCACACATAATCTCGAAAGGTAGATTCCAATCGGGAGCACATATGATGGGTGCCGATATCAAAGCCTGCTTAATCCTGTTAAAAGCCTCAAGACACTCGTCAGTAAAAATAAAAGAGGCATCCTTGAGTAAAAGTTGAGTCAGTGGTTTAGCAATTTTAGAAAAGTCTTTGATAAAGCAACGATAAAACCCCTCATGTCCTAAGAAACTTCTAACTCCCTTAACATTAACTGGGGGAGGTAATTGCTCAATCACTGAAATCTTAGCTTTATCTACTTGTATGCCCTTGTCAGATACAATGTGACCTAGAACTACTCCCTCTGTCACCATAAAGTGACATTTCTCCCAGTTTAGCACCAAATTTCATTCTTCACATCGTTTCAAAATTTTAGCGAGATTTATTAAACATGCATCAAATGAAGAACCATACACGCTAAAATCATCCATAAAGACTTCCATAATAGGCTCTATGAAATCAGAAAAAATGCTCATCATGCAACGTTGAAAGGTAGCGGGGGCATTACATAAACCAAAGGGCATCCTACGATATGCAAAAGTACCATAAGGGCATGTAAAGGTAGTCTTTTCTTGATCTTCAGGGTGAATTGGAATTTGGAAAAATCCCGAATACCCATCCAAATAGCAAAAGAACTTATGGTTAGCTAACCTCTCAAGCATTTGATCTATAAAGGGGAGGCGGAAGTGGTCCTTTTTAGTGGCGATATTTAGTCTACGATAATCAATGCACATACGTCACCCTGTAACAGTTCTAGTGGGGATTAATTCATTTTTTTCATTTGTAATCACAGTCATCCCACCTTTTTTAGGGACTACCTGCATAGGACTTACCCACTTGGAGTCAGAAATAGGATAGATAATAACTTCATGACCTCTTTCTTGACTACTTCCTGCATATTAGGATTCAATCTTCTCTGGGTTGAATGCAGGGCTTATAGTTATCCTCTAAATGTATCTTGTGCATACAAAAATCAGGGCTAATACCCTTGAGATCATCAATATTGTACCCAATTGCTCTATTATGGGTTTGAAGAACCCTAGAAGTTGGGAAGTTTGTAGGTCATCAAGTGTAGTAGTGATGATCACGGGGTATAGTTCCTGCTCATCTAGAAAAATATATTTTAAGTGAGAAGGGAGAGGTTTTAGTTTAGGTTTCTTAACCTCTGTAGGTTTCGATTCCTGAACTAAATTTACTACCTTCATTGTCTCCTTAGGGTCTAACTCTTATAGGGAAAGAGCTCTTTCAATATCATGTACTTCATTACCCCAGACGCTTGCATTATCTACAGATAAATTCCCACAAAGAATTTCCTCCAAGGGATCCCTTGCAAGAACCTGTGGCAAGCTATCATCACAAATATCATCCATTATATAAATTACATCAGTAAGACAACAATTTTCCTCTAGCATAGGTCCTTTCAAAATTTTCCCTAAATTAAAAGTAACATTATCGTCACCAACAGAAAGGGTTAGTTTAGTATGGAGCAAAGGCCTACCTAATATAATGGGAATTTGTGTGCCCTCAACCATGTCTAAAACAACAAAATTAACAGGGATAAAAAATTTACCAACTCTGACAGGGACATCCTCTAAAATACCTAGAGGGTATTTTACAGAACGATCTGCCATTTGCAAAGTTATATTAGTAACTTTTAAATCGCCCATATTAAGTTTAACACAAATAGACGATGGCATAACACTGACACTGGCACCCAAATCACACAAAGCTTTATCAATAAAAACATTCCCTATATGACAAGGGATAAAAAAACTACCAGGATCCTTTAATTTAGGAGGGGATTTATTTTGCAATAAGGCACTACATTCCTCTGTAGAAGCTACAGTTTCTACCTCAATAAAGGCCCTTTTCCTAGTCAAAATGTCTTTCATAAATTTAGCATATGCAGGAACCTGAGTGATTAAATCAGTGAAAGGAACTGTTACTTGCAAGTTTTTCACAACCTCCAAGAACTTACCGAATTGTTTATCAAACTTACTCTTCAATTGTCTATTAGGGAACGGTAGTTTGATAACTGGGTTCTGCACATCTCCTTCCTTTTCCTGAGATTTACCCTGCAAAGAAACATTAGAAGGGTTAGTATCTTTTTGTAGCCCTGCAGGGTTAGCAGGATTAGCGTTTGGTATAGAGGAATCTGGATCAGGAATAGGTCCATCATCCTTTGGCATAGGAGGTCCATCATAATGTGAACCACTCCTTAGAGTGATTGCATTGACATGATCTGTGGGATGGATTGTTTGTGATGGTAGAGCTCCCTACTGACGGGTTTGTAGGGTAGATGAAAGTTGTGCAATTTGATTATCCATGATTTTATTATGAGCTACAATTGAATCAATTTGTGCATCCCTACTCTCCATATGCTTTTGCATGTTGGTAAGCATTGCTCTAATTTCTGTCATAGCAGGGTCAGAAGATGATGAGGGTTGTGCTTAGTTTTTCTGGCCATAATTAGGATGGTTAATATTTCTGCTGTGGTGGAGGTTGTTGTTGTGGTTGTTGTGAAGGTGGAGGGTTTTGTACATTGGTACTCCGGTAAGAAAGATATGGATGGTTCCGGAAACCAGGATTATAAGAGTTGGAATATGGGTTATTTTGCCTATAGGTTTGTAAGGCATTAACTTGTTCCATAGAACTCCAACAATCTTGCTCCCAATGCCCTACAATTCCTCAATTTTCACAAAAAGCTTCATTGTTAGAAACAGCAGAAACATTAGCTACAGAGTTAGGAGTAGCAGTAAGATTATCTAGTTTCTGACAAATAGATGTTAATTGAGCTTGCAAAAAGGATACGGAATAAACATTATGTTTTCCTTTATTTGCAAACCCTCTCGGATTCCCGTATTGGGAATTGTGTATTGTTATATCTTCGATAACCTGTCCTGCATCGTCCACATTTCAATTCATGAATCTCCTACTAGATGCAGAATCTAGAACTGATCTAGATGAATTTCCAATTCCATTGTAGATTAATATAGACTTGTTTATTAACTTTCCTTTTTCCCATTCTTAAGCCTCAATAATTATTCAATCAAGCCCAAAAGAAGAGCCTTTAACCGATGTATTATGAGGCTTGTTTGTGAGCTTCATTTGAGCCTTTTTAGGCTGATTTTTGCAGCAGCTTTGAGGGATTAGTGGATGATCATATTACCCTAATTAACCCCCTCTAATCAATGGTAATAACACCTAATTATGGCTGCCCAACTTCTCCACTTCTCCTTCCTCTTTTACGTGTACATTATATGCTAGCTTCATCAGTTTTTCTTCACCAAAAAATGATGCATATACTCTCCTCTCTCTTCATCTTTTTCGTGAGTTTCAAAGGCAAATCAAGAGAGAAATCTAAGCCTAATTTGCTGCTTAATAAAACTACAATTCGTGGCCAAATTTCCTCCTCTTTCAAAGTGTCAAAACCGAAGAACTTTGAGGGCTCCAAGAGGGCTGCTTGTGTGGGTGTTTGTGCGTGTTGTTACTGCTGTTTGTGCTTGGGAGTGCTGTCCTTTTCTTCTTGGTTTGATGGCTTATGCATCAAGGTAACTGACAGGCTCAAGTCGTATTCACCTAATAAAAAATAAAACCTAAATCCACTAACTATGTAGATAGGGAAGAAGGGTCGAACCACAGGGAAATAAGTCAATTTATTCCTAATTAATTAGAAGCAATCTAAATTATCAAGTAACCAAATTATTGTAAAAAGGTAATTAAACTACTAAAGGTAAGAGTAGGAAAGGAGTAAAATAAAAGGTAAATGAATGGAAGAAAAACCTAGGGCATAGGTTCACTAATAAACAATATTCCAGGGTAAATCATAATAAGCAATCATCAATGCATCAATTAATCAGATCATAAAGGGCTTTCGCTACGTATTACAATCACAGAGTTAATTTACCGGTATTAAATCTCATCTCTCAAATCTCGACTTAACCATTTATAAATTAGTCCGCCTATTGAAACTAAGCCTAAACATCAATTCTCATCTCTCGAATCTCGAATCAATATTGCTAAACTCATACAATTAAATCTGGCCAAACCTAATTGCATAGCATTAAATCAATCAACAGGAAAATAATTAAGCATTGACAATCAACAATCACAAATTACCCCTTCATATTATTTATTGGATCCCCATAAACCCTAGAAATTAAACTACTCACGCATAATTAAATCTAAACTAATCAAAACAATAAAATAAGACATGATGAAAGAATTAAAGAAAATAACTGAAATTAAAAGAGAAGACATTGTTACCCAAAAGTAATCTGAATTAAGGAATGGAATTAAGAACAAAGTTGAGGGAATTTTAGAGAGAGAAGATATTCTAAGTAGAGAGAGAAAGTCTTAAAGAGAAGGTAAATCAAAATTACGTACAAAAATCGTACTTAAACATCCCTAAAACAAATCCTAATTGAAAACTAAGATCTCGGCAATCAGGTGCCTCCAAAAACACGCGCCCGATCGGGCCCACCTTTTTCTTCAAGGTTCTCCTGGGCAGCCGAGCCCGATCGGGCGCGCCTTTGTTGATGCCCTCTTCTACGCGCCCGCCCGATCGAGCGCAAGCTTGCCCGATCGGCCCGGTCTCTTCTTCGAGTCTTGGACTTCGATTGGGCTTGATTCTTCGGCCCAATCCGGATTTCCTCTTCAGGTCTTGAATACTTGGTCCAAATGTCCCGGTATCACACATCGAGCCCTTAATCACCGGCTCTAACCGGTCCCGGGCTTCAAAGATGGTCGTGTCCTCTTCATGTTCGTAGTTGCTCCATGAAAAACCCGGAAAACACTCCAAATGCGCAATTTCCTACAAAACTCAAGCAAAACTACAAAAACACTAGAAAACACCAATTAGTAATAAAAGCGGCTCTAAAGAGCCAAAAAAAACTACTAATTATGACCAAGGGACGGGGGTAAAACACTATATAAATTGGACATATCAGTAACTAGCCTTTCTTCCCTTAGATTAGAAATGCTAGGTTTTAGTGTTGAATTAATAGGTACGAATCATGTTAGGGTTAGATTGATTTGTTGATTTTTGTTCTTGATATGTATGTCAGAATTTCGTGTACAATTAAGGTGATTTTGGGTGTTTGAATCATATTTTTCATGCTTTAATTTTCTTACAATCAATCCCTAATAGGTGTATTATATTTGGTTATGATTATATTAGGTTTTGTGATGATTTTTGGGTACTTAAAATCTAATTATGTAATATGATTATGTGCGTATAAGACTATAGTTTCTGCAATGGTTATTGGCTGTGAATGAGCCATGAATTCAATGATTTTATTTTATATTATTGTATAGGATTGTTTTACGATCGATTTGATATACTATGGGTAAAATTCTAAGGTGTTTAAGACCTCCAAATGACTGATTTTGTGAGACAAGTTGTGCTGCCAACGTGAATGAGGACGTGATATTAGATAGAGACTTTGAGCATGTAAATATCTTATTTTTGTGACCAATTGAATATATCTTCAAGATTATCATGTAAGTATTATGTAGGAGTTTTTATCTTAGTCAAAATATGTGTGTTTGAGGCAAAATTCTCGCTTTTATATGCAAGTACTTTCGAATTAGTGTGTTGTAATGACAGCTTGTGTTTCACATGTTCCTAGGCTTTGAGTTAATTATTTGTGTTGATTTTATTGCCTAAATTCAATTAGTATCATGTTAGGCTATCATCTAATTCATTTTGGCATGATTCTAAGCAAGTTTGATTTGTTTGAATGGCCTATAACTAAGTATAGGAATTGCTGCCATCCACAGTGAAAGGAGTGTGATTAGAGAGTTTCAAGATGTTTTTTGCCAAATTTCTAAGCCTAAATGCATGATTAACATGACATATTGTGTTTTTAGAGTGTGTACTAAAATAGGCTAAGCATAGTTTCATGTTTAAGGTGGGTTTTTGGGTGATTTGGTATGATTGGTACTGCTGTATATTAGTGTAGGGACTGTTGTAAATATGATTTTATTTTGGCATGTTCTCTCTTGAATTTTAAGTCTGAAATTGTGTTATATGATGCCTAATGAGTGTACGTATATGCCCTAATTTTTATTTCGTATTTGAAGAATATTTGGTTGGGTTTTTAGATGATTATTGGACTTGTATGTTGTTGTCCTGTTATAATTGTTTTATGAAATGATAGTTTGGATTTTTGGTTTAATTAAATGATTTTATGTAATTATTATTGTAAGTATTATATAATATTTGAAATTATATTTTAATAGGTGATGAGTGAATTTTTGGGTATTATAAACCCCTAAAGTGAAATGTTTCGATGTGTGTTTGAATATGTAGGGGTTGTAATTGTATTGTCGACGTCGTAATGCTTTAGAGAAGGATAAAACTTTCTTTAGCATCACTTCACCAAGAGTTGTGAATGCACTTAATTGTTGAATTTCGATAATTAATTATATTCCCAAACTCAGACGATACCTTTTGTGATTTATTATGTTGAAGTGCGTTTTGAATTGAAGTTTCAATTGAATTTAAGAAATATGATTTTCTTATGTTTTTTGAATTGAGTGTAAGACCATGTTTGGCTTCTCTGCAGATTTCTGAGTGAAATATATTATATTAAGTATTTTAAGTGATTTTTGAATTGTGTGTGGGGCCATAGTCGGGTGTGAGCCGAGTTGCTTCCCGATGGTTAATGAACATGCTAACTACATGGATTGCGAGTCTTAGGTAAGTGATGCGTGAATTTTTAAGTATTATAAACCCCTGAAGTAAAATATTTTGATGTGTTTGAATATGTGTGGGTTGTAATTGTATTGTCGATGTCGTAATGCTTTAGAGAAGGATAACACTGTCTTTAGCATTACTTCGCCAAGAGTTGTGAATGCACTTAATTGTTGAACTCCGATAATTAATTATGTTCCCAAACTCAGACGATACCTTTGTGATTTATTAAGTTGAAGTGCGTTTTGAAATGGAGTTTCAATTGAATTTAAGAAATATGATTTTCTTATGCAGTTTGAATTAAGTGTAAGACCATTTTTGGCTTCTCTGCAGATTTCTGAGTGAAATATATTATATTAAGTATTTTAAGTGATTTTTGAATTGTGTGTGGGGCCATAGTCGGGTGTGAGGCCGAGTTGCTTCCCGATGGTTAATGAACATGCTAACTACCTAGATTGCGAGTCTTAGGTAGCTCAACCTGGATTAATTGTTGTCATCCGGGGGTGTGTAAGACCTTATAGGCATCTACCCATAACCGGGAGTTGGCCAATCTTAGACACGGTCTCTGCGAGATGACCAAGGGTTCGTCCTGACAAACCTTAAGAAGTGGATTGCGAGGCCACTAGCTTTCCCTCCATGCCAATTCTACTATTTTGAAGGTTTTGAGTTTGAATTATTTAAACTATTAAATTATTACTTTTGAAGTTTATATATTATGATTGAAATTAAGTGATTTGATATCGATATTCCTATTTTAAGTACATTTTGAAGTTTATATATTGTGTTTCATATAATTTTTATTGATGCTATAAGCATGAGAAAGGAGTTATGTAAGTGCCTATGTACACAAGGAATAAATTGTATGTTGGTTCCTTAGTGCACTTAAGGTGTTTTTAACACCAAGGGATAGGATTTTGGCGCATTAAGCGTTTAAGGTGTCTTTGACACCAAGGTAGATTTAAAAAGGGTTCAACATTTAATAATATGTGGTCACTAATTATTCAAGAATTAAATTAAAGTGTTTAATTGTTTGGATAATCATGATGTGTTGATGTTGTTATGATTTGAGATTTATCACCAAGTTTAATAAATTGTAAAGAACGTAAAGTGAAAGAGATTATGCACCAAAACTCTTGGAACGTATATACCTTGAGTATGAACACATGGGGGGAGTTATGAGGTTTTATATTTAACCATAACTTCTATTGGAGTATAGGACGCTGTACATTCCTTTTATTATTATGCGTAAGAATTCTGCCACTTAAGAGTGGTTCTTTAATACTGGCATGGTTAGCTCCCGTGTTAGTACCTCTTTATTGGGGCAGGTTAGGGGAAACCTGTTCGATGCGTAATCAAAACTAAATAAATTATTTAGTTGCTTAGTTAAGAAGTTTTGTTGAATGTTGTGTGCTTGAAAAACAGGTGCAACAAGGTAAGTTGTGTGTTGATAGGTAAATGCATGCTAGTGTTTTTAAATACGTTTATGTACTCAGCTTTGCTGATTGTGTGGTGTTTGTTGGCCTTGTCTTTACCTTGGCCCTATGATGACCCATTTAAAATGGAGAGTAGTGGAAACAAGTAGAGAGAAGCTTTTCAGGTGATGAAGCATATTCATGATGGGCTTGAGTGAAGAGTGAATCATGCTAGTTTCCATAAGTTTATGATGTGTTATTGCTTTATTTATATTATAATATTTCTATTGCAAGACTAACATAAAAGTTTTTAATTTGAATTGGTTTTGGTTAAGGGCCGACAATGGTTCCAAGTTGTAGGTTTGACTTTAGTTTACTTTGGTTTGACTTTACTTTCGTGAATTGACTTTTTAAGTTGAGTCGTTTAAAAATATTTTAAAGAATAGTCTTCCGCTGTGTGTCTTTGATAGTGCCTTCACCGTTTTCACAGTGACAGTAATATCTTATATTTTTCTATTTAAAGTTTTAAACAG